AGGTGGTGCCCAAGCATCGGTTGCGCAGGGTTCCACTAATCCCTGGCTCCCATCGTTGCCCAATCCTAGGGAGGTCCCGCCGTTTCTTCAGGGCGTATTGGGAAGGACTCAGAGGTTCAACATTGGTGAGCCTCAGGATTCGCACGCCCCCGGTGTGGAGTTGTCAACTGCTGAGCTGAGTGATTTGAAAGAACCGGCAAACATCAGGGAGCCCAAGCAGGCCGCTGAGATATTAGCCGAGGCTCTGAAATCAGCAATCAAGAAGCCTGAAGACGACGACAAGCCCAAGGCTAAAGAAGCCGAATCGGTCAAACTACCCGACTTCCCCAATCCTGAGACCTATAGAAGTTGGAAAATCACAGTCAGGGAAGCTGTGAGGGCTGCATCCGACAAGCCCGACGAAGCTTTCAAATGGGTCCAAGAGGTCTACTCGAAAGAGGCTGACATTGAGAAGCTCAGGGAAACAGGCAAATTTCTCACGCTAGACACCAAAATCCTTTCGTCGCTTTCTCGAGTTGCAAGAGGGGATCTTGGACGCCAGATCATCAACTACAAGGAGTCGGAGGCTGCGGCTGGCAGAGCGGTTCGCGGTAGGCAGGTTTTGCTCATGTTTGAGCACTACTTTTAGACCAACGAAGAAGCAGGGTCGCTATACTCTGTCGAGGATCTTCTCAAAGTCCAGTTGAGTGGGGATGATCTTGCTACTTTCATCCACAACTGGGAGTCCGTGATAGCAGGGCTCAATCACCAACCCGAGGAAACCACTTTGAGAGATATCCTGCTACGTCAGCTCCGTTGCTCTAGCAAGCTCAAGTTTGATCTGGATGTTTATGACCGTGCGAAAGAAGGCACTGAAAAGCGTACCTATGACTATCTCGTGACGTGTGTCAAAGACCTTTTGGCCAGGGACAGGACTAGGAACAACAAAAAAGCTATCGCTAAGGCCCATGGCGCCAAGTTCGGGGCACCAGCGCCCTCTGGTACACCGAACACACCCCGCGGTAGGAGCCAGGACAAGCCTTGCTACGCGTTTCAGCGTGGAAAGTGCCCCAGAGGTGACAAATGCCCGTACAAGCATGTGAAAGCCGAACAGACCAGGGGTAGGACACCCCCTAGGAACCCTTCCAGGAAAGGCGGTAAAGGTGGCAAAGGCGG